CTTGTTGTAGTTAAGCCTTGATTGTTGTAGGTATCACTGGGAGGAATTGACCTCCAGGCCAATTGGCTGTGAGAATCAGCTGTGTCTGCAGTGGGAGAACTTCTGAGCTGGAGACACCCTTCTGGGGCAAGACTTGCTTCAGTGGGGCTTTGGTGCTCACTGAGTCTGCCCCCAAACATTTTGGTGTGTGTTTTTTTGTCATTGTCTACATACATAATCAGTTTTTTCTGTGTCCCATATTATTATAGAACTTTCTGTCTTACATTTTCATTTAAATATTATTTTATTAGTATTTAGCCTTTTTTTGTTAGTTGGTTTTATTGTTCTTTTAGAGCTAACAACTGTTAAAAGCCTAGTGTGCCCTATACCTTTCTCTATGCTCAGACAATCAATACAATCATGTGAAAAGTTAAGGTCTTTATTTATTTTCTAATGGAATGCTATTATTGATACCACAGTGAAGCAAATCACCAGGTAGAATTTCTCATTCTTTTAATACATGCATAACATTAAGTTGCTCTTTTAAAAGTCACCTTTTAGTTTTAAATTCTATTTCTTTGATTTGAGCTAAACAAGATAAAAGAAATGACAAAGCCACTTAAACATGTGTGAGCTTTGCACTTTGGAATATTTAATCAGTTGGCTATGAGAGGTGATGGAGCCAGTTCTTTATTGGGTAGGGGTATATTTATTCTGCTCAGCAAAGGCCCTAATAGGCTCAAAAGGCCTTTTAATGTAAGGTGCACTCTTCCCATTTGTAAGATGTATAATTAAAACTATTGCTAGCAAGGAGTCTAGGCAGGGGCCATAACATATACATCAGTATCTATTCCTCTCAAATTATGTCATTGATGCATTTTGATATTTCTGCTATGCTTAGATATATAGATATCTAAGTTGCCCCGAGACCAAACTGAAGTAATGTCTTTCTGTTAAAGACTTTCAAAAACGTTCCAGCTGAAATAGGTGAATTTGGACTGAGGATATCTGTGTTTTGATCTTGATTGCCATTGCCTCGCTGTGTGACCTTGGCAAGTCACTTTACTTCTATTTTCAGTTTAATCAGCAGAATAGAGAGGTTGGACTTGATAAGTTCTCAGGGTTCTTCTTGATTTCCTTTTTTATTTTTATGACTTCCTAATGTCTGTGCTTAGCCAGATCTCCAGTGACAGGAAGATGAAGCATTATCAGCTAAGGAAGCTCCAGATTTTGCTTCTCATTTAATTAAGCCTCAGAATAGTGACGGTAATATTTGAGCTAAGTAAAGTACACATAAAAAAAAATAGTTTGTTCCCCTGATTTTCAGTTGAGGCCCACTAAGTTTTGTGCCATAGTTGAAGGTAAGTCTGGAGTGGGGACACAAAGGGTGGGAGTGCACATAGAATTTGGACCATGTTATCCAGAGGAACTGAATATTCCCAGAAGTGGGGGTGAGAATATCCTTTATTCCCCAAACATTTCTTTTCTCCGTCAGGTCCTGAAACTTGAACCCTCTTCGGAGTGTATGCTTCTGCTCTTTTGTGATGCCCGGCATACACTATGCTCGGGACATCACACCAGTCATGGAACCTGCACAGGAGTCAGGAGGCAGCCTGTAGGGGCAAGGTAAGTGCGCTGGTTTGTTTTGTAGCTATGTTGTGTGGCTTTGTGAACTGTTAAATATATGCATTTATGCCCTTTGGGATATAAAGTGGCATTTAACCATTATATCCCAAGAAGCATAATAGTTTTAATTGTGCAAAACCGCACAATATAGTTAAAAAATACAACCAAAAGCACAACCCTTCTGCATATCTTTAAAGGCTGATTGCATCTTCCTGAAAGGTTCCATGGCTGGTGTCACATCTCTTACATAGTGTTTGTGAGAGCTGTTGATCCCATCAGGGCAGCCCACCACAGCACCTCCGAAGTGGGGAGCAGTGAGTTTTCATGTAGTTTTTGTGCCGAGTGCTTCCTTTGAGTGTATTTGGCATGGAAACTAGACTTGACAGTTCTTTTTGCAGGATGCCTTTAACCTTAGCTTGATGGCTGCAGAGTGTTTGTGTTGGATAAAACAAGTGAGTGAATGGTGGCTCTTTGGGCTGTACTTAGGACATGAGAATATTCACCCTCCATCCTTCTGCGTAGGGGGTGAGGACAATGCGTGTGGGTTTGCTCATGAGCATCTGGCCACAGAGTGGTATGACTGATTTATTCACACGTGAATAATAGCTGACACGGCTTTCTGAATTGTGAAAAAAACAGATTCATCGAACAGGCCACATCGGACAGTGTTCACCCGAGCCATCGAGGCATGCGATCTCCACTGGCAGGATAGCCACTTGCAGCACATTATCAGCAGTGACCTATACACCAACTACTGTTACCATGACGACACTGAAAACTCCCTCTTTGACTCCCGTGGGTGGCCCCTCTGGCATGGTAAGTGCCCAAACCGGAAAGACATTTCCATGACTTACTTCTTTGTTTAGTTTCTATAGCATTATTGGAGTGGGAGGAGGAGAGCTGAGGGATTCAATGGGAGATGGATGAATGCTTGGCAGTAGGAGCTGAGTTTTTCATTCAAATCAAAGTTCAGAAATGGTTTGTTGTGTTTTTTTAATAGTATTTTGGGGGGAAAACATCTTACTATTAAATCCTGTTTTTATGGATATATCTGACAGTGGCAACTTTCTCTCACCCCTTAACTTTCTGTTTTTAGAACATGTCCCTACAGCCTGTGCAAGAGTGGACGCATTACGTTCTCATGGGTACCCCAGAGAAGCATTGAGACTGGCAATAGCTATTGTTAACACGTTAAGGCGGCAGCAACAGAAACAATTGGACATGTTCCGAACTCAAAAAAAAGGTGAATGTGAAGGAGTTTGTTTTCATTGGAATGAATGGGATTTTTGGTGATGACATCACTAGGTTTTGTGCTCTTTTGGGAGAGATGGCTTTTAAAATGAAAGTGATGGAGATGGCAGTACTTAACCACTCATTCGAAATATTTAATATCTGATCTTTGAGAAATTTTAGGTATTTCCCCCCTGGCTTAATATGGTAAAATGTAAGATTTTTTTTTAAGTATCTTAGGTTAGTTAATTTTTTAAGGGGGAGAAGTTTTTATTATTATTACTTATAATTTGAACCAAAGAAAGGGGGAGCTTAATATGTCAAAATTATCTAAAATATAAGTTAGCCAAATATCTTATTTTGTGACTGCATTTTAATTCTAACAGTAGGGTTCTGTGGGGTAGACTGCCTATATTTGAATCATAGCAATCGGTCCAAACTCAGAGTCCTTGGGCAATGACTAGACCTCTCTGTGATTTAGACTCCTCATCTGTGGAATGAGGCTCAGTTGAGGACCTATTTCTTAGAGTTCTTGAGAAGATTATTAATCCTTTAAAGCACTTAAAGCAGGGCCTGGCATAGTGTGTAATCACTCTAAAACTTTTTACTTGTTATAATTTGTACATAAGGACATTATATTTAAAGTGATCACAGCAGAAGACTCCTCGGATTTTTAAAATTCTGTCAACATTTGATGATGAACTGTCAGCTGACAGAACATATTTAACTTCTCTTCATCTCAGTTTATTAATCTTTTAGATTTGACATTAAGCATTACTGAGTAGTGGTTAATTGCAAAGCGTCTTACATGAATGAGGCCCTGATCAGAAAAAGAAATGCGTATGCTTTTTCTGGATAATCTATGCACTTTTTGTTCCATCTGTAGGTATAAATCTTTTTATGTTTCTTTGGCAGGATTGTGTTTACTCTGGAATTTTATTCCTTATTCAGAAAGATAGTTTTAGTTGCTGCTGTTTTTTTACTTTTTATGTTTTTGATTTTAATTCTTGAGTGATTATACACACTCCACCTAGGATACACCTAAAAATTATAAAGAAGTTGTTGAAGTAGACTGGAGGTTAGATTTTTTTTTGAACTTTTAGTATCCTCTACATTGAAAGTATTATAAATGTTAACATTATCATTTATATGATGGAAGAAAATTCGAAAGGTACAATTTGAACCAAAGAAAGGGAGAGCTCAGATAGTATTGGTTTATAATATTCCTGATAATCAAGACTTGGTGTTCAATCTTTCACGTTCTTCATGTCATCACTGGTTAACAGATATGTTTGCAAAATATGCTGCTTGGTCCTTTGTAAAATTTTCCTGAAATTCCCCTCCCCCTAAATACATATAATATCTGGCCAAAAGGTATTTACTTCTGAAAAGTATAAAGAATGATAATATTTAAACTAAGGAAGATTGAAGCACATTTATACTACAAAGAGAGAGCTAGCTCATGATTATCTGATCTTTAAAAATCATAACCTTTAAGAACTGCCTTTAAAATGAATTTAATAAAAATGTTGCAGCCCTAGCCCGTTTGGCTCAGTGGGTAGAGCATCGGCCTGCAGGCTGAAGGGTCCCAGGTTCAATTCCGGTCAAGGGCATGTACCTTAGTTGTGGGCACAACCCCAGTGGGAGGTGTGCAGGAGGCAGCTGATCGATGTTTCTCTCTCATCGATGTTTCTAACTCTCTATCCTTCTCCCTTTCTCTCTGTAAAAATATCAATAAATATATATTTAAAAAAAAGAAAAAAGAAGCTACATTGTAGTTGGCCGTGTGCTCTTTCAGGGGAAAATGCTGTAGCTTATCAAACCCCTTGGCCATAGGGATGTCAGTTAAACTCTAAAAATGGCGAGAGCTTTTGTTTTCTAAGAATGCCGTTTTAAGAGTAAAGACCCTGGAGCTAAGTTGTCTGGGTTCAAATTCCTGCTCCAACCCTTCCCAGCTGAGGGAACTGCCGACTTACCCTCTTGAGGCCTCATTCCCTCCAGTGTGAAATGTGCGTAGTAATAGTCGGTGCCTCTCGATAACTAAATGTGCAATTTAAGTTGTAAGTTGTAAATTGCTCAGATCCATGCCTGGCATCATTTTATATGCATGTATGCGTATATAATTAAATGAATAAATTAACTTTAATGATCATGCAGGCGATGCTTTCCAAGTAAGGCCTAATCTTAGGAAGGTGTTGACAACCGAGTTTCACCAAGACTACCTTTACTTTACGTGATGTGGGGGAAATTTTTCTTTTCTGACCTGTCACAATGAAAAAACATCTAGTCATTTCAATTTGATCTGAGAGTTGAATAAGCTGGAGGCATTTTAACCACAAATGGCGGGTCTTCGGAGGCCAAGGGCAGAGCAAGCACGAGGTCACACGGAAGATGTGTAAATGCTGCGAAGCTGCCTTGTCACCTGAAATATCCTCATGGCACCAAAAAT